ATTGCAAGTATGCTTCAGTGAAATTTCTGATGAACTTATTAATTACTTAAACCTGTGAGCGTTCCACTACTTATCCTCGTGGGGAACTTCAGGGTTTAAAAGAAAACGACACACTATCGAATTGACTAAGAGGCATAATCTTCATCCAATTATAGCCCAAAATGCATTCAAAGGAACTTCGAATATTGGAGTTGGTTTACAGAGACTGTTCGCTTTCGTTTACAATACGATTTGAATGCTTGTTAGTTTAGGATTTCCCTAATGGTATGTACGTTTTTCTAACTTGAGTCATTGTTGCTCCACTAGAAGAGCCACCTATCTGAAGTTTAAAAATTTCTAGACCAATCATTTAAGTTAAGGTTATGAGAAGCCAGTAGAGTGTTGAAATGAATACTACTCAATAATACCGCCCAATTGTACTCAACTTTTGCTGTGAAGCCAAACGTAAGTGCAGGCATTCGAGAGCTTCGAAGTATTCTAAGATGTCATTTCAAGCTTTTTTTAACTCGAGTCATAGAAAGAGAGGAAGAGGAGGAGGAGGATGAGGAGGAGGAGAATGAACGTAGTTTAAATATCCCAGTCCGCAGGGTGATCGGATAAATTTGGTCATTCAATTCTTTCAAAATTTTAGTCTCCTCAATGCTTTGTGTGGATTTAAATCGCGTCATTTGTGAATGATAGATTAGCACCGATTTTGAGGTCAGTCGAAGGCTTGGGTAAGTTGAAGATGGATCTTGATTTAGTAAGTTGATTGGATCGATTTACCCCCCACCACCCTCATCCTCCTCCTTACAAAAATTCAGCCTCTTGCTTTGCACTTTGAAATGTATGCGTGGAATTGAAGACTACTCATTAAGTGGGAGAATAATTGTGCGGAGTGTAGGCTTCTACCAAGGTTGATCAATGGTAATCACGATCTTCCAATGGTTTGCTTATCGATCTATCGCATGTTAGGTTTACCTTTCACCTACTTCATTCAGTTTACTATGCACTGGACGGAAGTTTACTCCATTCACTCTTGATAGACTATTCCTTGTTGCAGTGTGGGTTCACTATTTCCTGCACTACCGAGATGGCCTACCTCCAGCAATTTCAGAATGAGTTTAGCGATGGACTTGATATTTCCCGTACAGGCCTCTAAATCATATCCATCCGTATTCCACATAGTAAGTAAAATGACAGTAGAACTTGCCTGTTCAGAGCTCTCCTCTGTCCTAACACTGTCGTCGGTGGTCCTGCCCATTCCAGAATCTTGATCCTGAAATGAATGTAAATGAATGTAAGCAAATGCATAATTTCCAGTGGAGATTAAAGAAGCAGAAAAACATCCACTTTATCGCTGCACTTTTAATTACCCATTTCATTTATAATGAGAAAAATAAGCCGACTCATCGTTTGAGATTTAAAGAAGGTGTTTCAACCCCACCTTTTAACTTAAAAATTGACAGAAGACCACTTTTTAGATATACGGAGTGATCAGGAGCAATTTGAAAATCTCGTTAGGAAAGAGGAAGGAGGTTGGTGGCCCCAAAAAAACTTAACATTATTAAAAAGGACTTCAATGGGAAAAAAACAAAGAAATTGCCCTATTGTCAACGAGTTTCACCCAAAGTAACCCCCTTTATCCTCTATTAACAACACAGTCCAGACTCGATCCAGTACATAATGCCACAGTAGTTTAAGATATGGAGTTGTTGCGGGGGAGGGTGTGTGAGTTTGGAGGCAGGGCACTGGGACTGGCGTATTAGTAATAATTTGATCACTGTCATTTTTAACTCTTCTCTGAGTGGCACGAATTCTGCTGCCGACATGTATGAGACTTATTATTGTCTAGTCTTGTTTGTTATGAAGGGCTAAATTACAACAATTGTCAGCGATTTCACGTAAACATCCGAATGCAGTCAAAGCTCGTCTTCAGACAAAAATTCGGAGGTAGGCGGCATCATCTCCAAGAACGATGCCGGCTCGGGCAAATGACTTGAGGAGTCAATGTTGGACCGGTTGGCCAGTAAACTCATTTCCAATTCTGCGCGTTTGTGCTTTAGATCTGGGAGAAATTTTGTTCATAGTCAAGGTCACATTGCATGTGCTTCAACAGGATGTTCGCCTTTTTGGCAGACAGCGGTTTTGGGCGCCTTTTCTGTGAAAAAAACTGGCCTCTGCGACACTTTTGTGTAATTGGTAATTGAGAAGATCTTCATTCCGTGAAAGCTTTTGATTGGGGATGAAACAACCACTTAAGAGGTCGTTACAACATTCTCTTCTGTGGCAGATTTTCCATGGAATTGGTTGTGCGAACGTAATTAGATCAGACTGACAGTTACGTTACTTTATTCTAGCCACATGGTCTCCATTACAATACTCAGTATCATGGCAAATAAAATTGTAGGTCGACTCGAATCATCGTGATATAAGCTAATCACTTCCAAGATTCCGGTGGGTTCCAGTCAACAACCATTCTCTTTACCAAGAAGGGTTTAGACTTCTAACGGAAGCTCGGTGTATACAATCATCTTCATCACGGCAAAGTCCGTCCTGAACTCCGTGTACATTACGGATTCTCAGTTCTCCAAATTCGAAAATCCCAACTTCACATGCCAAGTGACCCATAAGTCGTTAAAAACTGTAACTCCCCAAGTGCTTTTTAAGCTACCACTTGGACAGATTTTGGTATTTTCCAAACTAACCCAACAACAGATGTCAAGCTCGTGACCTCGGATTGGCAGAAGAGTACAATAGCCACTGCACCTTTTTAAAAATATCATACAGCCTCCCAAAGAGCATTGGGCTCCTTCTTGCCATTTCAAGAAGTACAAACTGTATTTATTTATCTTATGCGATAGACTTAATTCCACTTGGTGCACCCTGGGCAGTGTATTCTCATACGGCTAAAAAGTCTATAAACCGGCAGTTGACTTCTGACTTCAAACTGCCATGACCCCACTGTATGTCATAATCGACTACTTCACAGTACTCACCTCACCTTTTTTCTACCTTTGTGTCTGTCTCTTTTACATATATGAATTACTCTTCTGTACCCCCCCCCTCTCCACTTTTTGTGACTTTGATGTTAATCCCTTCTGTGAAGCTTGAAGTCAGCTAAATGGCTAATGATAACTATCAAAGCGCCTGCCATTTGATATAAATAAATACATCTTGTTTGTTCTGGCATTTGGAAGTCTTGTTGAAAGAAAGAGGTATTCAGTGGGATATCCCATCTTTTACAACAGATCAGAGTGTTGTAATTTACATCACCTATGCATGCACAGCCTTGCCAACATTCGAAATTGTAAACATGTCATGTTCTTCAATTAACTTTCAATAAAGCATGTCAGTTCCAAAATTTCAGTTGTCCAGTCATTTTCAATTTAAAGTCACTTGAAATCAAATTCAAAAAGGGTCTAATAGCGTTTAGATTGAGAAAATTTCCAGAAACGCAGTCACTTTTTAAAATCTAGCATTATCTAACGAGGAAACGGATATTCTGTGAACCCCTTTTCAATAATTTCGATTGATTGTCAAATCTGCGATTATAGAGAAGAGGGGTGGGGGGTGTAGAAGCTACAAAACATTCCTAATCGCACAATCTCAGGCATTTTTGAACTGGAATTCACCAAAAATACAAACAAATTGAACTCTATAAATTAAACTATCTCAGCTTAAAAAGATGGTATGAATGAATTGAAATCAATCACGGTTTGATCGTAGAGGAATTTCTTTGCTAATCGGATTCATAGGTTTTCGGCTATTAGTCGGTCAAAAATTAAGGGATATCCGTTTTCTGTGCTCAAATTACATCTTAGATACCAGCTCTGATTGGCATTATCAACACGCTCCTATGAGAGGTGACGGATGTTCAGTCATTTTGGTATTTGGGCAGATATCTAGGTGCGAGCTTAGAATCATCACTAACAGTTCTTAAAGCACTGTCCAAATAAAGACTGCTTCGATGTCTCGAGTTTATTCCCGACTTCCACTAAAGTTATATGTACACCAAAATCGATTTTTTGGACCCCCCCCCCTCCCCCCTTCCTCCCCTCTACTGTGTTCGAAAACTTACTAAAGGCCCAAAGTATCGCAGTAATGGTTTCCATTCTATCTGTTACTTCAAGAGGAGAATTAGCTGCTCTGATGTCAATGTTAAATATATGCTTGCGACACATTCACTAGAAATGGTATTGCTAATGTTTCAATTGCCTTCGATAAGTATTCATTTCAATGATTGCCTGTCTAAGTTGATTATCAGTGAAAAAAATCCCCAAAGTAAAGCATTTTTCAACCATTTAAGTAGATTTATTAATTAGGAAACCTAGGATATATATATTTATTGCCATCTGTTGAGTTCTTCCACCGGTTATAAATTGCTATGGCTATTAAAACGTCATTCGGAAGCTTCAATAATGAAAGTCGCTTTCTACTTCTAAAGGAAGATTAAATATAAACCACGTATTCAAGAACTTGGAAAAACTATCAACACAAAGTAAACATTGAAAGCCACTTGTTCTAGTGTAAATATGCTAGAACATCACTGGCGACACTTGAATGCTCTTGAGCCCTTTCAGCTGAAAGCTCTTTATGTTTAAAATGACAAGAATGTGGAGGTGGTTTCATCTATTTATTCAATTATAGGGTGATTATAATTATTTTTATCCAACCTGATCCCGCGAACTCATGGTGAATGATAAATAGGTCATATGGTGTAGAAGTTGAACGGAAATCTCATTCAGCAAGCACACAGAAACTCTCTGACGTCACATTTGATGTATTGACTGTATACTGATGTGACTTATCGATCGAGTTAAATATTAAATCCATCTAGCAATCTGGCCGATTATTCGTGCACTTTTAGAATGGTATACGAGAGTTGAAAAGAACATTTTTAGTCGCACAGATATTGTTACGATGCTTGATGTTAGGAAAAAAAGTAGAAATTGTAAAGGCGTGATAAAGATAATTGCTTACTGGTAAATGTGCGTAGGCGACATTCGAGATGCCGATATCTAGAGTAGAGTCCGGATAGGACGGCGCAGAATAAGATGGAGGGAGTCGATTAGGAACCTGTTTCCAGTGATGCTGTTGCCGCGTAAGAGTTATCTTGGCGCAAAGTCCACACCCTTGGAATAGATCCATTACATGCTCACGAGAGGTTATCTCCTGATCTCCAATCTTTAACAAACGGTCACCTAGCATGATCTGACCCGAGCGATGAGCAACACTTCCCGGTTCAATCTGTGGGGGGAGGGGGGAGCAGAATGCAGATGGAAATTCTGTTAAATCAATTTAAGTTAGAGAGATTGCAATAGAATGCAAATAGAAGTAAAGGGCGTTAGGCAAATAAATAACATAGGTGGCTAAGAAAACGCTTTCCGATGGTGGTCCTGAAAGAATCGATAATCAATAATCATCGGTTACTTAGCTGCCTCTTAGTTTCGGTAAGTTACAGAGAAATCTCCCCCAAATCATCTGCCAACTTGCAGATTTCAACAGCTCTGAATTCCCTGCCAAATCTCATTTGATTGTTTTTTTGCGCGAAGTGGTAAATTATTTATTGAAATAATTTTATGGCTTTAGAGCACTTCTTCTCTTTCAAAGAATTTGGAATGCACAAGTTAGTCATAAAATTTCAACCCTACCCATCCACACACACACACACTCTCTCAGCAAAATTTACTGTCAGAACTATAAATACCAGTGGCAAATATATCATAACACGATGGAAAATGAAACTCCAAGAGGTCTATGGTGAGAAAATTTTTATTGTTTTGGCGACAGTGGAAATATTAAACTGGAAGGAAGGGTGGAATTTATTTCTCCTCTGTGTGTCTACTCCATGCCACACATGCAATAAACTCCACTTATGATAAATAGGAACCCAGTTATGAATAGAAGGGCCGTGGGGGGTGGGGG